TCAAACTACTGAACACGAGGTTACCACGCGTCAAATCTGACACTTCGGCACGACGTTGATCCACCACTGTACCCGTTCTCTACGCGGTGGTGAAAACACCGTCGGTAACGTGAAACCTCGTCGATTTTCACGTGCAGATCGTTTCGGTGGATGGTTTTCGTTGATGGTTCGCCCGTAAGGAGGCAGACCGATGGAACGAAAACGAAAGATTTTGAATTTTAAAAATCGATGGATTTTTGGACTTTATGGATTTTTTTTTTTTTTTTTTTCTCTCTCGTTTTAGCGAAAACTCGAGGACGCTCGCGGAGGACTCAATCCGCCGACGGATCGGATCTGTTACGGGATGCCGAAATGCGGTTTCATCGGACGGCACATGCAATTTCCGGATCGATTCCGTGCCGATCACGCAGAAAATTAGACGAGAAATCGCAACGGTTTACGCGACAAAACGGATCGCATCGATGTTCGTCTGCCTTCCTTGCCGTTCTTGTGCGCCAGCCTTTCAAGGCGTTACGAGACGTCGACTCTCGATCGTAAGTTACGCTCGAGTCGCTTCGGCAACGAGATGTTTCTTCTCGATGCTCGAAGAGTTGCAGAGTTGTAACGATCGTGTACATCCGAGGCGTTCGCCGACGAGAAAGAATAATCACACACTGAACCACTTGTATCAGGCACGATCAAGGTACACGGATCGCTCGACGGCTGGAAACGACTCCGGGGAAGAAACGAAGACAAAGTCTTTCCCCTTGCAAGGAACACCGAACTCAAAGATCAAACTTTGAGGATTTTTCACGGCGAAACGGTACACAACCACCTCGCAGTCGTGCGTAACGCTCTTTCGGCTGGCCGTACGGGAAACGTTAGAGGCAGGCGAACACAGGCCGGGGCACAGTTTTCAAGAGGAAGAAAAAAAAAGGAAATATTTGCTGGGGAGAGAGAGAGAGAAAGAGAAAGAAAGAGAGAGAGAGAGAGAAGAAGAAGAAGTAGAAACTGGCGCAGCACTTCTCACTCACCTGGCTAACGTCGCACCACATTATTATTTCGCTAGCACTGACGACAGCATCTTGGATCGCTCGTGTACCATACACAGTGTAGCGCACTGGTTTGTTATTTTCAATGAAGAAACAGTACGTGAAATCGAAGCTCCACCGTCGGTGTACGCTCGTACGGTGAAACGCTCTGTTCGTTTTTCTTTCTCTCACAGTCTCACGAAACGCACTCTCACGATTGCGAATACATTCGTCGCCGTTTGCTTGTGCCTCGTGTTTCGGAATACAGCCTGTCTGGCTCGTCGAGTAACACCACACGATCACCTCGAGTGAACGACACGACTCTCACCAACGAGCCCAGTAGCGACTGGCTGGCCATGCAAAGCATTACTGAATACTCTGACAACAGTACTCGTCGAGTGCCGCCGCTCGGTTTTCCCCCGAGCGTGTGCTCGGCTGTTTCCGTTGGACCTCGGCCCACCTGCACTCCAGCACGACGGCACGGCACGCAGTGCCGTAGCTTCGACCCGTCGAACCTCTCTCTTCCTCTCGTGTCTGTCTCCGAATCGCTCGCTGCGATCTTCTTACACAGAACGTCACGTCTTTCTTTTTCTGTTTTTTTTTTTTTCTTCTTTTTTTTTTTATGTTAAAAAATTGTATCCACACCGAAGGAGAAAAATGGTGTAAAACCGAATTGCTGTTGTCGATTTTTCACCGTCGTAACTTCTGCGGAAAGAAAAGACAATTTTTGATTCGCATCGATCGTTATATAACGTATATATAAATACACGCAGGGATTTACGGTTGCATTATTGTCGAGATCGTGCGTAAATTAATATTTACCTAATTTTGGTGAGAAAAAAATTAAAAAAAAAAAGAAAAAGAAAAAGAGATTATCTCTTGAATGAACGTAAATTAAAGGGTCCTCGCTAATCTCCAGTTTGTAAAGTTGTAATAACAGGTGCGTGGCGGGGTACTTTAATGTTCACGAAAGAAAGTTTCAGAATTTATTTTTACACGTTGCCGATTGTCCGAGGTAACACGCGCCATTGTATATATTTTTGTTCGTACGAAATCATGCGAAATGAATTTCATGAATATCGACGCGCGATCATGCCCGATGATTTAGATGTTCCGTCGAATAATTTTTTTTTTTTTTTTTTTTTTTTTT